GAATTTAAAAAAAAGGAATATATCAAGGAATAATATTTCTCTGAATCCTATATCTGTATCTGAATTAATGTTATTTTATTAGGGATAGTGGAAGATTGTTTGCTGTCTGACATACATTATCAATATTATAGAGATACATATACAAAATGTTTACAAATGGAGCATTTACCTTATATTCTGGAATCTTACAGATGTTCAGCAAACATTCTCACAAATCTTTCTGTGTTGTTATTCTTCAAGCATTAGAAGGTCTGTTCTAATGATCTAAGAAGAAAATATGCTGTACAGGTTGTTCCTCTGTGGAATGCTTAACTTGTTAAAACATGCTGTGCTTATGAAAAAAAATTAAAGAATAATAAATTATTGTTGATTAGCTTGTCTTTCCTGCTTTTTAAAAAAGGGCTTTATTTCTGATTTTTCTTTAGACTCTTTGGTAGGTTGTTAATGTTGCCGAACTGGTATCTAACTGCCATAAGGCCTCTTGGTTGTAACTGCATAGGATGTAAACTGCAAATAGCAGGGTGGTTAAGTTGGCCAAGTTCCAGAAATGTCCAGCTTCATCTGTGTGCGTTTGGACAGATCCAACCAAAGGATAAAGTAGGGCAGTACAGGTGTTTTTCAATTGTAGTTTCAATCTTTCACCAGTGGTTATGCTGGCTTGATAGGATAGGAGCTGTAAAAGCAAAACATCTAGTGGCTTCATCGACCACTCCTGGCATAAACTGATCAACCCTTCTCCTCCACTATTAACTGTAATATGACATTTCTAAAGGGGTAGTTCATAAGTTTTTTTGTTTTGTTTAACAAATTTTGTTTAGCACAATTATTGTACCCTACAGATGCATCTTGTAAAGTTACTTACATTGCATGAATTCTATGCCAAATAAAATGTGTTAGCCTAGATAGGCATAGTTAAAGCAATGGTATTCCCCATATAACCTATGGGTATGAGAGCTGGACCATAAGAAAGGCTGAGTGAAGGAAGATAGATACTTTTGAACTGTGGTGTTGGAGGAAAATTCTGAGAGTGCCTTGGACCACAAAAAGATCAAACCAGTCCATTCTTCAGGAAATAATGCCCGGCTGCTTACTGGAGGGAAGGATATGGTGGAGGTTATGGGGGGGGGGGGTTGTTGGGTGATACATAACTAAGGAATGTATAGAATGTCAGTTAAGAAATATTTACTCTTGGAATAATGTTTATTGAAATAAGCCCTGTATGGCAAAATTTTTATTGATTGTTGGGATGTATCAAAATAAAATTTAAAAAAACTGGAGGGAAGGATATTAGAGGCAAAGATAAAGTACTTTGGCCACATAATGAGAAAAGATGAAAGTTTGGAGAAGATAATTATGCTGAGGAAAATGGAAGTTAAAAAAAGAGGGGCCAACCAAGGGCAAGAAGTTATCCTTGAAGTGTCTGGCTTGACCTTGAAGGAGCTGGGGGTGGCGATGGCCAACAGGAAGCTTTGGTGTGGGCTGGTCCATGAGGTCACAAAGAGTTGGAAGTGGTTGAACAAATAAACAACAACAAGCCTTTTCAGTACCCCCCTAAGGTACTCCAAGGGGGGCATCAGGGACACTTGAGTCTTATTCATTCTTCATTTTAGTATGACGACTGACCACTGTAGTTTTAAATATATGTGCTTTTTAAATGTTTTATTGTAATGTGTATTTTGATATTTTACCGATTGTATGTGTTTTTATGGTTGGAAACCGGGCTGAGTCCCTCTTATGAGGTGAGAAGCTCGGTATATAAAACTTTGAAATAAATGAAATAAATTCCTGAAGTTCTTAATTATGGTTTCAAAAAAATCTTGTAGCACACCCCAGTTCTTACTGATTTTATCAGCCCTGCTGACTTTTTTTTGCCTGTGTAATGTGTATGTATAATGAATTGCAAGATTGTGTTCTTGTTGATTATAACCACAAGGACTGATTATATAGGGCTAGGTTTCCAGATCTCTTTCAATATCAGCCGGATATTGAAATATCATTTCAGATAATACTTCGTCAAGTTCACACAGCAACTTTCTTTAAAATGTGTGTTAGACAAATAGGTATTGGAAAAGGCGTGTGTGGCGTTTATATACTTATTAAAGTTGATTGGATGTAACGTCCTAATGAAAACTTTCCAAAATTTGCACACTGTGTTCCTAATGTTGTTATATATCCTTCCATTCAGTTCTGTGTTTACTACCTTTTTTCCTGCTTGGGAATCTTCTTAAGAGTTAACACAACTGCTGGTGCTTTTTTCAGTTGTATGGCACACATCTTTGTAGTAACAGGTTAAAATGCTTAACATAATTGGGTCATATTATTTGGAATACAAAGCTATCAAGCAAAAGAACATGTGACATTTTATGGCAACATTATTATGATGAGTTGTTGAAGGCTTTCATGGCCGGAATCACTGGGTTGCTGTCAGTTTTCCAGGCTGTATGGCCAGGCTCCAGAAGCATTCTCTCCTGGGCGAGACGTCAGGAGAGAACGCTTCTGGAACATGGCCATACAGCCCAGAAAACTCACAACAACCCATTATTATGATGGCTCTGTGAAATCTCTGCTCAGTGTCTTCTGAGATTACAAGCTGCCTTGGTAAAAAAAAAATAATACTATGGCCCATAGATAAACAATCCAGCATGCAAACTATGTTGAATAGTCATTAAATATTTAATTTTCTGTATTTCACCTTATGCTTTGTATTCATGATCTATGCTAGAGTCCTCATAATGGGTCGGCAAGTTATCCTTGTATTAAGAGAGGCTCCTTCCTAAACTTAAATAGCTCATTCTGTGATGTAGTGGCCACCTCGTCTTTGGGACTGAAGTGAGAAGTGGAAATAAAAAATGTGCACTGGATCTGATTATTGAAGGAAAGCGTCCAATAGAAAGCCAGTTACCATGAAACAATAATATGTATCCTGACAGTTTAAGACCTCATGTATGAACTGCTACTGAGGTGATTTTAGTCTTTTTAAAATATGAAGAGATTGAGGAGGGATGAAAACAAAGCAAGGGCTTGATGTTCCACCACTGGGGTACTTTCACATTGGAAGCATTTACTTATTCAGTGGTGGGACTGAGGACTGGTGTTTGAGAAAGGTGGCAGGGTGAAGACCAAGCGAGTTTATATGCCCTGAAGTTGCATCTGAGTTGGGACATTCAAGCTCCTGGATGGGAGGCGAGAAGAAATTTTTTGACTCAGAACTGCTGTTGGATTTGCTGCCTGTAGAGGAATGCCTCAGGGGGGCTTTCTATTGTCTCCCCCTCCCTGTGCGTCTGCTGCTCTGTTTAAAATATTATCACTGTGGGGCCAGCAAGAGAGAATGTATGTATGTGGGAGGGAGGACTGACAGATTTAATAAGGGATAAATAATATTTCCAGCTGGAATCTGGCACTGTAATCCATCACCTTTGGCCAAGTCACCCTGACAGACGTGGCTTTGGCTGTAGTCTATGTACTGGATCTATGTGTGACCCATGAAAAGGTGAACTAAATGTTGTAGTGAGTCATTGCATTTTTTTTTCCAAAGCACATTACACGTTCTCCATTGTGCAAGGTCATGACAGTACCAGCTGTGTCTCATGGCAAAAGGAATAGAAAAGTAATCTTGATAAATCTGAGCTCCTGGTGTGGAAGTTGCCTTGTTGCTTGCTCCCTTATCAGCTTCTAACCTTCCCATTAGGGATATAAAAGTATTAATGTGCCTAATCTGCAGTCTAGAAGTGGCACTTCAGCATGAATTCTTTTGACACAGCCCTAAATATTATCCAGAGCATGGAAAAGTTACTCTTCTGACAACAGCTCTTCTAGTTGGTCTTGATACCAACATATGGTCTTGGTACCAACTGTAAACCGTCCCGAGTCGCCTGCGGGCTGAGAGGGACGGTATATAAATGCAGCAAATAAATAAATAAATAATCTGCAGTGAACATATTGGCTTGGGGAGTCTGGAAATTGTTTAAGTTTTGAAAAGTAACTTTAAGTTTTGAAGGAAACTTAAGACCATAAAAAACTCAGTAATCCTCTGACAACTACTGTTCCTAATTAAAAGTTTTATACTGCATTGTAAAAGATCTATAACATCATATTGAGAGAGAACTTAGTCTTTAATCACTGTAATTAGCCATCTAATTAGAACTATTGGATCTGGGGGCTAAATCATTATTGTAATTAATATCCAGTGCTTTAGTCACTACTAAAACGCTTCCAGCTAGAATAGTGGTTCCCAACCTTTGGTCCGTGGGCCAACAGTGATCCGCAAGACCTAAAATATGGTCTGAGGCCTCACCGTTACTACACTGTTTCAATGAGAGTGACTGGTCTTGCAAAACCCTTTTATAGTGCCGAGGCTTATTAAAAAAGGTTTTCTGTGGGCAAGCAGATGGCGGCTACTGGGTGGCATATGTCCTGTATCAGAAACTAGAGCTGAAGAAGTCTATCCAATGTAATTTTCTGAATCAGCACGTCAAGTAACCAAACCAAATCTAAAGTTGACCAAAAACTGATTCATAACCCTTTTGGTACTAATGTTGGAGCGTGATCTCTGGTCAAGTGGTCTCTGGTCAAAAAAAAGGTTGGGAATTACCGAGCTAGACAAACAACAAGAAAGAAGGGGCTTTAACAGTTATATTTCTGCATTATTTTGAAGGTGTGCTTCATTCCTTCTCAACTAAACAAAACTATCATTTAACACAAAGCATTTTTGTACAGTTACGCTTGTACTCCATCTCCCATGGTAGCACTTGTTCTAACTTCTCTTAAGCAAAGTTATGGTGGGAAACACCAAGTCAGCTTTTAAACGAACTCTACTTTTCCAACTCAGAGATGGAGGACTATCTCACACTACTTACCTTTGTGTTTGGGGCTGATAAACAAAATCGTTTTGTTCATCTTTGTGTTTCTTTAAAGAAAAGAAAGTTGTAAATAATGATGACTGCTTAATGTTTACGACTTTATACAACAAAAAGCAATTAATCTGTGTCACTGTTTTTCAGGCTGTCATTTTATTCTGGGCACTCTTCGTTCTCCATGTATTGCATGCTGTTCCTAGCAGTAAGTATATTTTTCTGTCTTTTATGGAGTTAAAGGGAAGGGAAAAATCTGTTTGTATTTCATAGCATGAAAGCTGAAACATTTGCTGCCTCAGCATTTCATTTGGGCTGTTTGTACAAGAGAAACATTAAATAAAAAAAAAAGGTTTGGATGGGGTGGAGTGTTTGCTCTGAGATAATCCGACTCAAGGTTGGAATGTTTTGCCACTGCAAGTCATGTTATCTTTCTCAGAATTGTTCTGTGTGTTTGTGGGTCAAAAATACATCGTTAAGAAGATAATAAAGATTTCTGGTCTGCATTTTGTCTTCTTTTATGTTCTGTTCCTCATTTCAGACTGGTAACGAATTTGGAAAACAGGCTACTGAGATGGTAACAGCACATAAGTGAATGAAAAGGGAGAGCTAATGTTAAACACGCAGATTGATTGGCACTGAATCTGTGTTAAAGTTGTAAGACCAGCTTCATTGCTGACATCCCTCTCTGCACAAATAGAGAGTGTAAACCTTGTTACATTTTATAAGATGCAAGGAAGCATCCTTGCATGTTTTGATACCAAAGGCATCCTTGGAAGGACATTGTGGTGAAAGAAAGAAAAATTAATTTTATAGCATCTTTGAGTCTAAATGAATTATTTTAGTGTCAGCTTTTGAAGCACTTCATTCTATTACTTCAGATACCATAATGATGTTCAATATTAAGCTACGGGTGTGGGGGTGGGATCAGAGCATGGGGTAATGGGATTCAAAGAGATGCAACTCATGACTGCAAATAAACTTGTAAATAGCTGTCTAAGATGATAAAGTAAGTTAGTCATGTTAGCAGTGGTACAAGTGCCTGATTTCTAAATTGTGTTCCTGATATGAAAGGCATCATTGGAAAGAAATCTGGGCAGTTGTCTGCTCTGCCAAGTATAGTTGAGACAACCCTGGAAAGAGGTCCATTCACACAAAAGAGGCATTTGTCTAAATCTTAGCCATTCAAAGGAGAACAGTGGGTCAAGATCCCTAAGTCTCTCCCTTTCTTCCTTCCTTCTCTTTCATAGACGATTCTGAATAGTTTTGAAGACATCTTTTGGATTTAGTATATTCTAGGAAGCTTAATACATTTTAAAACATTGTGATTTTATTTTGTACAGAAATATGTCTTGCTGGAGAGTTGGGAAGATATTCAATTTTTTAAATACTTAATACTTGTACATATTGTATGCTTCACAAGTTTTGGTACTTGTGTATCTGGCCACAAGATCCATTGGTAATAAATGCAATAAATTTTAAGAGTGTTTCAACTCCCTGCATCGTAACAAGTCTGGCTTTCTAGCTTATAGTGACATTTATGATACTCAATTTTTTATTATTTTTATTTTGGGCATTCATTTAGTGCAGTCTGATTCCTCACCTGAAATTAGATCCCTTGTTTTTGTTCTTGTCTCTCACAAACTCTGTGGATCCATGGTATTTTCTCTGGAGTGATGTTTTTGATCATGAACAGTGTCAGTACTAACAGTGGTGTCTGCCAACTTTGTCTGATTCACCTTGTGTTAAAAGAACTGTGCTGTGAAGCTGTCTTACACATCCATGGGCCATCTAGTCTGATATTGGCTCCTCTGCCTGGCAGCTGCTCTCTAATGCAGAGATATTTCCTGGCATTACTACTGTAACATCTTCCAACTGGAAAGACTTGGGATTGAATTTGGAACCCTTCCGCATGCAAACGTGCTCCAGCGGTGAGCTGTTGGTCAGGACCTTCAATGCAAGGAGTGCTATGTGCTTTCTCACTCACTCTGGGGGTTTACTTAATAATTGTGTAGTCTTTGCAATTCCAAGAAAGATAGATAGATGCTGTATTGGTCTACTGGGATAGTCCCAAATCTGAAATTCACAGGTGGGCAGCATTTTTAGCCAAATTAAATATAAACTCTCAAAATATGCAGTGTTTTCTTGTTTAGGTCTCCAAATCTTTTTTCCGTTCTAGATGATAAAAAATGAGGAGGGGGAGAATCACACGAGAGTCCAAAATGTTTTGGCTAGGTGTGCTAAGTTGTGGAGGGCTGTAGTTAAAATTAGTCCCAAGAGAGGGATTAAAGGCTTGAGAAGTCAGACAGTTATGCAGGCATGATGATCTCTCGCCATCCCCACTGGGAAGAAGGCAGACAGTAGGCTGGTTTACCTTTTTTGGAAATACTCTGTGGTATCATTCAGTGAAGTAGCTGGAAGAAAAGCCTTCTCAGATTCAGAAAAGCCATGAAAAAGCTCTGAAAAAACAAACACTTATAATGTTGTAGGAAAAAGGACATGCTTTGGTATAGCATTAGAAACCCAGCAATGAAAAGGAAGGCAACTCTAGTCTTGGTGCCATTACTGAAAAGGATCTGTCCTAGGTAGCTGTACCTTCTCTTTTTACATAATAGAGCAGCACTTTGGGCTTTAGATCCTGGTTCTCTAATCATTTACTGTAGTGGTATGGGCACAATACTATATTGTAGACCAGCTCTCTTCAACCTGCAATTTTTTTGCAGATATCATTCTCTGCCACCAGTAAAGGAGCAATGTGAGATATAGTGTGGCACCTAGTTGAGAAAGGCAGCAGTATAAAGACAGTAACATTTTTTTTAAAAACCCCTCAAAGTTGCTTTGTTTTAGAATCCTGGAACAACATGTATAGCTTTAGGGAAGTACACTATGTGATCATTTACTTTTTGCTTGTCTGTTTTCCCCAGTCCTCTCCCTATCACATTAGCTTGCCATCCGCTAGTGTAATGAGATTGCCAACTGACTGTACAGTGTGTTCCAGTGGGTTTTCCCCCCCTTAGATAAATGTTAGAATTAACAGTGAGACAGCAACTGGCAGTTTAGCAGTGTATTCTAGTGATAGCGTAGTATACGTGTTTGACTCCCTCCCTTGGCTACCATTGTATTCAGGATGAGCGCCGTGGTTCTCAACCTATAGGTCCCCAGATGTTTTGGCTTTCAAATCCCAGAAATCCTAACAGCTGGTAAACTGGGATTTCTGGGAGTTGTAGGTCAACACACCTGGGGGGGGGGGGGGCGGACCCAAAGGATGAGAACAACTAAACTAGAGAGAACCTTGAAAATGTCTGTGTAATTTGTCTCTGTTTGGAAAGCTTAATGAGTTAGTGGTTGTGTCATGTGCTGTGAAGGTCTTGGTCCGATGGGTGGTTTTGCCTGTTCTGACAATTTGCTATTTACAGGATGCAGATGTTCAGGTCTGTCTCCCTGCATTGACATTTCAGGGCTCCCTACTTTCCCACGTGGCAATATAGAGTTCTGCTACTGGCCCCAGGTCAAGTCTGATGCCTCTGATAACCTTTTTGAAATGTTCTTTCCGACCAGCTTCATCTTGCCTTTTGCACGCTCAACCCCAGCTGCAGTTGTGCGCTGCTCTTAACTCTCCAGTTACTAACATGTGGCATTACTCACACCGTCTGCATTAATCAGAACCAGACGCTTAAAACTTTGGCCTCTTGAGGGCTGGAGGAATCTGACGTATGCCTGGTGCAACCAACTGTGCATGCATACAAAAACAAAAAAGGCAGGCGAAAAAGGATATGGTAGTGGAATTGGCCAGCCACATTGACAACTAGATTACAACTCTGTAGAAACCAATGGAGCCCCAGCTTCCCCTCAATCCCTATCAGTCTTGATTTTAAACTGTTCTCTTCAACTTCCTCTAGACTGTAAGAAGGTGAAGCTTGTTTTCAGTCTTGCCGTGTTTGCTCTGGCCCACAAGAAGATGCCACAGCTTGTCAGTTACTTACAGCAACTTGCTGAACCACAAACCTAGGACTGTAACGGCCACTGTCTGTCTCGGTGTTGTAATTCCTGTGGGGGAATGCTTACTTTTCCTTCCCTTTCTTTCCAGAGACCCTGCTATATAAGCAGCACAGACCTGCTGGGTGGCCTTGAAAAGCTGGACAGTGATGGGGAAATTACTTGACTGGATTAAAACTCCCAGAATCGACCCCATCGGAACAGTCACTAGACTTGCTGGCTAAGGGATTTGGGGATTGTAGTTCCAGTGACCCATTTCTATTCTCTGTGTCTCCAAGAATAGAGACATAGAAATGGACATTGGGACTCTGGGTCACTTTTCTTCAAGAGCATCATTTTGGATGGAATTGTGCCCAAATTTCTCCCTATGAGTGTTTTCTCAGTCCTTACCACTAGTTAGAAGAAGAATCTAGAGAACTGTAAATGGAGTTTAGAATGTTTTATTTTTCTGGAGCCTTTTTCAGTGCAACGAACTCTTGGATAAATGCAGTGATTAACTTGTAATATCTGCCTGACCTCTGTGCTCTTTACAGAGTAGCATTGGTTATATTGACTAGTCATCCTTTCTTTAGTCCCCTCAACTTTAGGTTGCCCTTTCTAGAACTCTGTATGTTTGGCCAAGAAAGCCATTGCTGTTTCTGTTGGTTGTATAAGCTTTGTACCAAATTCATTTTTCCCATCCTGTGTGGAGATGTCAGAAACATGCATTTCCTCCCCAGCAAACAAAAGTTTCTGGTTGTTTAGTTCAGGAAATGATCCCACAAAACTCTAAATACTGAATATGTAACACTGCAGTTGAGTATCGCAGTGGATCAGATAAGTTTGTTATGCTAATAACATCCTTAAATTTGATTAACTGCAATTTCAGATGGGTATCTGTGTACAATTCAGAAGACGGATGATCCCTGCTCAGATACTAGGAAGGAAAGGGAATCCTGCTCCTACAGGTTCAGATTAAGCTACCAATCAAAAAATTCTCAGTTCTAGTCTTGCCTTGAAATGGGAGGAGAATCATTCAGTCTGCCAAATGTTGCTGGACTTGCAACCACAATCAGTCCTAGCCATTATAGCCAATGGGAAATGTTAAAAACTGAAGCCCATCAACATCTGGAAGTCCTGATTATTCCCACCCTTGCCTTACCGTAAGAATGGGGAACCTCTTCAAGCCTGAGATTGAATTACATTTCAGTGGCAGAGTTGCTCGAAGACAAG